TGTAGTTTTTCATCAGTTGTTGAAAATCTAAATTGTTTATTATGAGCAAAAAATGAAAAAGTTTGAATATTATTATTCTAGCAGCGTCACTTCCATTGATGGATGGAACGTCAAAAAAAGGTGGACAAGCAGCAGTAGCAAGTGCTAATTCTAAAACCGGTGGTAGTGGTAAAGCTAACGAACAACGTTATTTTCGTATTCCATTTATTCGCCCTAACGAACAAAATCGTGATGATAGTAGTGAACATAAAAAGAAAGGCTGGTGGTGTGCTCATTTTGATGGTAAAAATAAAATAGAATTTATATTTTGTATTCGTTGAAAATAAAACAAAAAAATTTTATTTAGATAAATGGATTGCTCGTCAGATGGAAATTCATCCAAATAAAAAACCAGTTTTACTTGTTGCAGGTTATTTGAAAATTATAGATATATGAAAAAAAAAAATTTTTTTTGATTATTATTTTGTCATAGGTATTGATGATATGACTATGTGTGAATTAAGTTTAGATGAAACAGGTTTAACATCAAAAAAAGGTGCTGAAATACTCGAAAATGATTTTGAACAAGAATGGATTAAACATGGTGGTCGAGAATATTTAAAGAAAAATAAAGGACAAATTAGTTCAAAATATGTTATTCAATTACTTCAAAAATATCACTAAATTATATTCTCCATTAAATATGCAGTAGATATTGATCTGTCTTTGTTTTTTAATATGTGCTAAAAATTAATTCTCTTCTAACGTCCGATTCTCATTGTGATGATCTTCTTTCTTTTTTAAGTTCTGAGAATGGAGAGAAAAATCTCTTTCTTCTCATAGTTTCATTTTAACTGATCCAATCTTGTTTTTTTTTGTTTGATTTTATTTCACATAAATAAATTAACAAATTTTATTTTATTTCAGATGTATTAAGAAGAATATATAATTAAACCATTATGGGTGGAATGAAATTTGAAGTTAGTGCAAATTCTTCATTTTTATTTTGTTAAAAAATTTTCATTGATTTTAGTACGATGAAAGTGGAGGGAAATTTTATTATTTTCTTCTCTCTGTTTATGCTTTAATTCTTATACCGGCAACATATTGGTTATGGCCTAAGGCAGAAAAAAGAAGTAAATATAAACGAGAAAAAACAATAATGCATTTTTTGTTTTGATTATTTATTTTATTATTTATGTATAGAAACTGTACCACATCCTGAAGATACATCGAATTTTGCTCCATGTCGTCATAAACATCAATTATTACATGCAAATGAACCTAATCGAAGACGACGAGCAATAATAACGTAACTAAAATAAAATAAATAAGAAAGTTTATTGAAATTTTTCAATTCATAAATTGAATACAGAAGAAAAAAACAAGTATGCGCAGACAATAATTGTGGATTTTGAAACAAGTTTATAAGAAATATTAATCTATGTTATACAATTAAAATGTAACGTGTGATCTAGTTATAGGTTGCGGAGCCATTATTACTGTATAATTCTCATTTTCTTCTGACAGAAGATGTGTTGTTACACGATCAGTCGACATTTTATGTATTACCAACTCGTGTCTATTAAGCGTAGGCGACGGAGTCACAAGGTTTGAGTAGGTCCGAGTCTATCCAACTATTCATTTCAAAATATAATGTACTCCACTGTTTTTTTTCAATAAATTTTCATGCGAACATCGTAGAGACTTGAGGTTTTTAGCGTTCAAGAGAAAAGATCCAAGACCATCAAAATATATGATTGATCAGCGTATTGACCAATCATGTGAGCTTTTGATGGAGATTTTCAAAAAACGATATTCTGAAGCTATTTTCTTTTCAATCTATGTAAGATCAATATTTCTAGCTTGTTTCAATCGAGACTTCCGGTTTCAGCCAATTGATCTGTAGGTATCCAGAAAAACGAGTAGGCATGGGTAAATTATCATGTTAAGACAAATCTTGATATTTGGTTTTGAGGTTCGAAATGATCTGACAGTGTCATCTCAATATTTCTAAGATTTCACAATCGGTCTCCATGTAATGGAAGAGTTGACATTTCTGAAATATTAAGATAACAGTATTAGATTATTTCGAATCTAGAAACAAATATCACCATTCGACTCAGCATGATGAATTACCTGCTTTTCTCGGAGACTACAGATCAGTCAACTGGAATATGGGATCTTAGGAAATGACGACCTTATGTAGACTGAAAGAGAAACATTTTTTCTATCAATTCATCCCTATTAAAAATCTAAATCCAAAAGAATATAACTTCAGAGTACTGTTTTCGAAAATCTCCATCAAGAACTCACTTGATTGGTCAATCATATACTTCGATGGCCCTGAGTCTTTTCTCTAGCATAGTGAAAATCGCAGGTATCTATGATGTTCTCATGTAAAGTTATTGAGAAAACTTTGGAACATACTATATTTTAAAATGAATAGTATACATTGTTCATTTATTTATTTAGTTTTTGTCTAATCCTATCGTTTCGATATACATCACTTTCTTGCGTTTTTATGAAGATATTTTTCTACTTCCATGGACTTATGATCGTAATATTACTAAATAAAAATACTACATATAGAGATGTACTTTTTGTCAACATGTTTTAGACTTCTGATGTACATATTATTTTTAGCGTATAATTAAAAAATGATTGTATACATAAAACTATTCTTTTGTTTTTTTTTTTTTTATTATAGTAAAATTGGTTTAATCTTAGCATGGATTATTTTATTAGTTCTTGCTTATCGTGTATCATTAATTGAAATTGAACATAAAGAATATGATCCATTTGCAGTATTGGATATTGATCGAGTATGTATTTGTTTATTATTTGAAATTGACAGAGAATAAATAAAAAGACAAATTGTCGTTCTTTTTTTTTTTTAGGAAGCAACAATCGGTGAAATAAAACGAGCCTATCGTGATTTAAGTAAAAAACATCATCCAGATCGTGGTGGAGATCCAGAAAAATTTGTAAGTAAAATTAACCAGTAGGATATAATGAATCGGATTAAATGTAAATGTCTCTTCGTGATGATTTTTTTTTTCGACAATGAAGTTTTTTTTTTGAGTTAAAGTTCGCAAAAAGAAATCGAACAATATCCCAAAATGGATGTAAAATGGTTTTTTTTACGATTTCATCGAACGTATCTTCGTGTTTATAAATCTGATAAATTTCTCAGTAGCAATGTCACGCTTTTTTTTTGATTGATTGTCAGTTCTGCAGTAGAGATCTGAAAAAAAATGGTTCCAATTCCGGCAAGATCGGATCATCTTGTCCATACCTAGGACATACAACGTGCTAGTTGCTTCGAAATTAGAAAAAAGGATTCTTTGTAAAAGTGAAGTACATAGTTTTGTAGAACTTGAAATTTTGCATCTTTTAATATATAAATGAATATTTTATATGAATAATAAATGGTTGAAAATTTGCATTAGTTCAATTCGTTATGATCTATGCATTATTAAGGATGAATTATTAGAGAAAAAATAAATAAATCTTTTTTTTTTTGTTTTTAGAAAGAAATAGCTAAAGCATATAAAACATTAACTGATGACGAAGCAAAAGAAAATTGGAAAAAATATGGAAATCCTGATGGACCAGGAGGTTTGTTTTATTGTTTTTAAAAAATCGGGTTTCTTTTTTTTTGTTATGAAGTTTTTTTTTTTTTTTGAAATTCTTAGTAACACATTTTGGTATTGCTTTACCAAAATGGTTAGTTGACCATCAAAATTCTATATTTGTTCTTTTGGTTTATGCTGGTATCTTTATGATTGTTCTTCCAGTTATTGTTGTATGTTAATAATAATAATAATAATAATAAATTTTCTTCTAATTATTTTCATTTAAAGTGTATTTGGTGGCAAAAATCTGCTCGTTATTCAGGTGATCAAATTTTAACTGATACAATACAACTTTATTGGATATTTTTAAGTAAAACATCATCAATTATTGTTAAACGTAAGTTAAACGAATGGAAATAGTTGATGAAGTTTATGTTCAAATCTATCTGACGGTATACAATGATGATTTCGTTTTCAATTTTATCTGTCAATCCTCTGAGAATATAAAAAATTTCTTTTGATGTATATGAAACTCTGAGTATACCGAAAAAGTTTTTGAAAAATTTTCTATTGAATTAATCTATTTTTTGTTTTGTTTTGTTTTTTGTCTTTTCAAGGTGCAATTATGATTCTTAGTGCATCAAGAGAATTTGATCGAAATCGTAATCCACTTATTATTGATCGATTAAGTGATAATGTTGAATTACCAAAAGTTTGTATTCTTTTGCAAAAATATATATAAAAATTAATTTTTATTATTTAGTTATTTCGAGAATTACCTGATGTACAAGAAAAAACAAAAGAAAGACCATTTCAACTACCATATTGTTTAAAAGCACGTACACTTCTTCATGCACATCTTCATCGACTTAATACATTAAGTGATAATCTTGAAAACGGTATATATATATATATATATGAATTTTATTTGAAGTTTTTGTTTTTTTTTTAATGTTTTTTTAAATTTGTTAGATAAAGGATATGTTGTTAAAAAATCACCATATTTAATTAATGAAATGATTAATATTGAAGCTCAACTTGTTGCTATGGGACATGCTGGAAGATGTGAGGAGTTTTTGTTTTTGAAGAAAAAAACGAAATGTATTTCTTTTTTTTTTTTTTTTCTTCTGTTTAAGTGAGAAATGCTCCACGTCTTGATACAATTGAAAGTACAATGAAATTATCACCAATGATTACACAAGCATTATGGCATACGAAAAGTCCTTTACTTCAATTGCCACATATCACTGAAAGTCAATTAAGATTTTTTGAAACAAAAAAAGTATGAAAATTTGAGTCTTATATAGAGATGTACGGGAAAAAGAAGTTATTAAGACACTTTGTTTTAGATGTAATACGAATAAATTTGAGAATAGTTTTTTCTAGATCGAAATCAGTGAGAAAAAAGTTACCAGGACTCTATTATGGAGTAGATTTAAGATTGTTATTAAATCATTAATTTAATTTTCTTTTTTTTTTGGTATTTGATTTATATCATTTTCTTTTCATAATTGATATATAATTTGTATAATATTTGTACATGAAGTCATCAGTTTTAAACTATAAAAATTAGTAGAAATCTTTCTGTTCTTGCCTTTTCAAAACAATTCTTCACATCATTTAATCGTTCTATGATAAATACCAGTGTTTTAGTCACCGCCGAATATCCCCCTTTCCCTATGGCCTTCATGGTTGGGTGGCTATGTCGTTTGACGCGAAGGCACTGTGTTCAAAGCTCGGTATCACCAGCTATGAAATGACCCTAGACCAGTCACTAACGTCTGTTTGTTTTAGATCACCCATTTTCGATAGCATGTTGACTAATGTTGTGATATACACCTGCTCATGTGATTCGTTAGTGTATATGAAGAACTTCAGTCCTCTGTATCAGATCAGCCTTTTGTCCAAAGCTACAGCTAGTATTAGTTCATCTACTATGTGTTTATGTTTTCAAAAATAAATATTCGCTCTTCCGGATGATAAAATACTGATATGAAAAACTTCATTTATATATTATAACTTAATACGAATAGGAGAAAAATCCTATTGCTTGATATAAAGTACAAATATAAAAATTTTTTATCTTTCAGCGAACAATTAAATCAGTACGACAATTTGCAGCTATGAATGATGAAGAACGTCGTTCTATGTTACGTAGTATTACGGATGAACAGTATGATGATATCATGAATGTTCTTTCTATTTATCCACATTTAACAATGACTGTATCATGTGGAGGTACTAAATCTTCTCTAAGATAAATCCTAAACATTACTGTTTATTTTATTTTTATCTAGTATTTGATGATGAAGATGAACATATAATAACAACAGGTGCTGTTGTAACATTAACAATACATTTACATCGTGAAAATATGTCAAATGTATTTAACAAAGAAATTGGATCAAATACATCTGCTGCTATAAATACTCTTGATTATGAAGCAAATGACGAACAAGCTGATGATAAAGAAAATCGAGGAAAGGTTAAGATTTTATTTGAGTATATATTTTCAATTTTGATTTTTGATTTTTCTAATAGACTAATGAAACATCCAAAACAACATCGAATACATCAAAAGGTTGGAATAATAAATCGGATAAGAAAAAAAAATCAAAAAAGAAAGGACAAACAACATCATCTAAAACGAACAATAATTCATCGAATAAACAATTAACAACAACAACTAGCAATAAAAATCAAGCAAAAGGAACAGAAAAAGATTCAAGTGGTTCGTATTCCTTTTTTTTTTTCTTCTTTTATAATTAACTTAATTATTAATTATTTTAATTGTTTAGATGATGATTCATCGAAACATTCTGATGGTAAATTAAAACAATGCACAAAAAAAAAATACTTAGACGAATATATTTTTTTGTTTCTTAGATTCTCCATCAACATTACGTCAACGTCATGAACCATCAAAAGATGAAATGAATAATAGTGAAAATGAGAATAATGATGAAGAAAATCCTTCAAATACAATAAAAAAATCACGAAAAAATTCTGATAATGATGAAGATACATTTCTTGAACGTTTTCAACAACAACAACGTAAACGTGAAACATTAGAAACAAAAGCAAAAATTAGTCATCGAGTTTTTTGTCCATTTTATCCTGAAGTATATTTATTTTATTTTATTTTATTTTATTTTATTTTATCTTCAATTTCATTTTAGATCAAACAAGAATGTTGGTGGTTATATGTTGCTGATAGAAAACATTCTTCATTAATTAGTGCACCTGTGTATTTATGCACATTAAAAGATAAAGAAGAAGTTGAAATTAAATTTTCTGCACCAAAAACACCTGGTCATTATGTTTATTCAGTTATATTAAGATCCGATTCATATTTTGATGTTGATGTTATGGAAAATCTTGCTGTAAGTTTTTAATTTTTAAATTAAAAAATAATAATTATTATTTAATTATGTTAAAATATTTAGTTTGATGTACAAGCTGCCAAAGAAATGGTTGATAATCATCCACAATGGGATTTTAGTGATGAAGAAGGAGCCGCAAATAATAAAGCTGATGATGAAGAATTTGCCACCGAAAGTGACAGTGATGATGAATAAATTTTTTATCGCTGTTGTTGTTGTTATTCATATTCTCATTTATTATTTATATTATCTATTTATTCCATTGAAAAAAAAAAAAATCGTTTTTTTTTTTTTCAAAGTGAAAAATAAATATCTAACATTGTCGTGCAATCATTATTATTTATAATTTAAGAGCATATTATTATTATTATTTGGACATTTTAGAAAGATGAAGAAGAGCGTCTATTGTATAATATATGTATTACATATAAAAGGTTGAGAAGAATAAAAAAAAAAAAAGAAAAAGGCGAAAAACATTAAGATTCCTTTCTTTTTGCACTCGTGCGTGTATAGATTACATATGAAATTTGCGTTATATGACTCTTAACAAACGAAAAATAAGCTTATTCATTTTAAAGAGTATTGGTCAGAAATTAAACTAATGTTTTTATACATTCTTTATTAAATCATCTATTTTATTTTTGTTCACTTTTTTTTTATCTTCTGACATAGACAATTCTATTTCTTTCATTCAAAATATTATAATTTATATATCTAAATATACTATGATTATCATTACATAAAAAATAAAAAATATCATGCATACACACATTCAAGTAACTTCGTTTTTCTTTACTTGTTAATGTACAAAGCAAATCTTTTGAAAAGTAACAAAAGCAACATATACGTGCCATGATTTGAATATCAAATATATGCACTGAATGACTTTATTTCATTTAACAAATGTATATCATTATTATTACTTTGTGTTTCTGAAAAGTAAGACAAAAAAGAATGCTAATGATTTTTAACTAAATCTATTTCATTTTATGATTCTGTTGATCAAGACAAGAGAAAGGGCAAAATAAAAATCTACTATTACCATTATCATTATAACATGTGTCGTTTGAAAAGGGTATCATTCTTGTGTATATCTGCGCAGAAGGAAAGCCATTTATGATCTTTATCGCCAACACTTCGTTTTTCGTATTCTCTTTTTATTTCGAGACTCGATCATCATTTCATGATGAATTATGTAACACATGAAGTTCTTCTTAAAGAATAAGCAATAACATTATTAAGCATTTCAAATTTTTCTTTATTCATTTTAGGCTTGATTTTCAAATCAATATTCAATATATCAACAACTAATTTTTTTTTTAATGTTCATTACAAAATAATATTAAAATATGCTTCAAAATAAACGTAGCATCATTTTTATTCTAATATTGGGTATACTTATACGTAAATATTATTGTAAAGAACAAACATACACACATAAAGAAGCTAAACCATTACGTTTTCACGTTGCTTATTTTAATTTTGAACATGTATCAGATGTTTATGCTATTACATTATGGATTTTACTTGGTTCACTTGCTAAAGTTGGTAAGTATGATTAATTTATTTTTTAATTAAATTATTATTTTTATTTCTTTTAGGTTTTCATTTATCACATCGTTTAACAGAAAAATTTCCTGAAAGTTGTCTTTTAATTATTCTTGGTCTTATTGTTGGTGCTCTACTATATGTTACACATTTAGCAGAACAAAAAGCTTATGTACTCAATAGTGATACATTCTTTTTGTTTCTTTTACCAGTAAGAAAAACAAATAACATTCTTATTAATTTTCAATGAAAATTATTTAAGTATACTTTTTATTAATAAGCATGATGAAATTTTCATCTATAAGCGTATATATTTTTTTTTGTTTTGAAGTAATATCTTAGAAGAAAGAAAACAATCGTCGAAATAAAGTCATAAATCAGTTTAGATAAGATATGATTCAATGCAAATTTACTTCCGAATATAGAACTGGAAAAAAAAAAGATTTATTTATAATATAAATGATTGGCTTACATCTATGAAAAGATTTTTTATTGATTTTTAAATATCAACTATGAAAATATAAAAATAAGAAAATTAAGAATTATTGCTCAAGTGAATTCAAAATACTCTAATCAATTTAGATTATTAGTATGAGCTATTAAAAAAACAGATTTCAAACTACATATGTAATGATAAAATCGATAATAACATACAATAAAAAAGGAAACAGGGCACTTAACAATCTAAATGATGATAGTTGAAGTTGTATGCTTAGCTTGAGATTTATAAGATAAGAGTAAAAGATAAAAAGACTGACTACATAATTGGATCATATGTGAAAATTTCAAAAGACCACAATCTCAAAGTGTAATTCGAATTTCTTAAGAATATACGTTGTATATAGTCATCCTATCTAATTCTGACAACTTCGGGACATCCTTAGTTAGAATTCTTCTTTAAAAAAATTGCAAATATTTAAGGACTATCATAATTATTGATAGTTGTAAATAAAACTTCATAGGATATAGTAAATCAAGTTTTTACTCTAGTAATCATACTTACTCATGTATAATCTATTTATTTCAAGATATTTGTTGAAACATATTTGATTACAGAGAAAAAAACAATCATTATCTTAGTTCCAGCACTCAATACAACGACTAAGAATTTCTTTCGATATGACTGATTATAGAAATATAGCGAATATATAAAGTAGTATTAATTGTTAAGTTCAAGATTTGTTCTAATAAACTCGAGCGTCAATTCTTCGAATGAGAAGTATCATGAAAGAAAAATTTATCTCAAGAGGAAAGATTCCCAACTGATCCACGCTGTTTTAAATATTTTATCTATATGTTAGGAACATTATTCTAAGAAAAATCCTAAGAGGATATTAGCGGGTGAGACTGACTTCGAAGATTATAACCATTTTACTGATTTTTCACCTAGTACAAAGAAAAAATGAATATCAGTGTCTCCAAAGAAAAACATTTTTTTTTCGACTGAAATATTTCGACTGTTCTAATGACCACAATTTCAGATTGAAATCCCATTGTTCCGTTTTTCTATATATACCCTGTGCTAGATGAAAAAACAATTAGTAAAATGATCATAACTTTCGAAGTAAGTCTTATCAACCGAAATCCTCTAAGGATTTTTCTTAGAATAATATCCCCAACATATGAACAAAACACCATTGAAAACGGCATGGATCAATTGGAGACCTTCGTTCATCAGTCAAAAAATGAATTCCATAATGATATTTTCCTCTTAAAGTAACTGATCAAACATTTTTTAGCAAAAAAAAAAGAGACAAATATGGAAAGAAGATAGACTCTTAATCACTAATAATCATATTCAAAAATTCCTAAATTTATTTATTATTTAAATGAGAAAACAAAAATAGTCAGCTAGTGTGTTAAGAATATCAAAAGTAATTAGATATTCAACAATACAGTATAACCTCTCTACACACTACAAGAGATTTTACTGTATGGATTTTTGCTATCGTGCATCAGAATTTATCATAAATATTATTTACTCAACTTATCGTTAGGGTCTAGTACTAACGCGAAAGTCACCCGAAGTGATTCTCTTGCAAGCAGTTTTCAGATGATCTATCTTATTAATAATAAATGTAATTAATCAAAAAATAGTTAAATACTGAATTCAGTGCAGTAACAAAGATAATGATCTTTCTTCTGTGATCAAACATGGTTAGTAAAATATTTGTAACAAATTAAATCAGTACATTTATTATTTTCGAAATAATAACGTTAAATTCCGATATGATTTTATTCTATATTACAGCCTATTATTCTTGAAGCTGGTTATTTTATGCCAAATCGTCCATTTTTTGATAATCTTGGTACAATATTATTATTAGCTATAGTTAATACATTATTCAATACAATATGTATTGGCCTCACATTATGGGGTTTTCAATTTACACCAATATATGGTGGTACTACATTTGGAATGTTACCTTGTCTTGTTTTTGCTGCACTTATATCAGCTGTTGATCCTGTTGCTGTTTTAGCTACATTTAGTGAAATACATGTTAATGATATGTTATATATTGTTGTATTTGGTGAATCTTTACTTAATGATGCTGTATCAGTTGTTTTATATCGTATGTTTGATTCATTTGCTAAAATTGGTCAAGAAAATATCATTCCAGTGGATATTGTATTGGGTGTTTTATCATTTTTTGTTGTTGCACTTGGTGGTGTTTTAATTGGTATCATATTTGGAGTTATTGCATGTTTTACAACGAAATTTACTGAACATACACCTGTTCTTGAACCACTTATTATTCTTGTTTATGCTTATTTAGCTTATCTTACATCCGAAATGGTTTCAGTATCTGGTATCTTAGCGTAAGTTGATCGTTGATATATTTATTAAATAAAATTCTTATTGAAATTTTTTTAGTCTAACATTTTGTGGTATGGTAATGAAACAATATGTATCATTTAATATTTCAAAAAAATCTGATGCAACAACAGAATATGTACTTAAAATGTTATCATCTATAATGGAAACAATTATATTTATGTTTATGGGTTTATCAACAGTTAGTGATAATCATTCATGGAATACAGGTTTTGTTCTTATGACACTATTTGTTTGCCTTCTTTATCGAGTTATTGGTATGAATCTAAGAATATTCTGTTTATATATAAACAAAACAAAATTAATATTTTTTCTGTTTTTTTTTTAGGAATTGCAATTTTTGCTAATTTAGCCAATTGTTGGCGTTTACTTGAATTAACACGTATTGATATGTTAATTATGTCATATGGTGGTTTACGTGGTGCTATTGCATTTGCACTTGCACTTATTCTTGATGAAACAAAAATTGAACGAAAAAAAGAATTTGTTACAGCAACAATTGCTGTTGTCTTTTTTACTGTTTTTCTACAAGTAAAAATAAAAAATAATTTATTGATTAGAATTATATATAATATATTTTTCAATAGGGTATTACAATTGGTCCACTTGTTAAATTACTTAATGTAAGACGAAAGCAAGTCGAAGAACCAACTATGTCAGCTAAATTAACAAATCGTGTAAAATAAAATTAATTAATATAAATTTATTTTTATTTTATTAATTTTCTTTTCTTTATTATTTATTATTTAAAGATGATAGATCATGTAATGACTTGTTTAGAAGAAATTTCTGGTAGTGGTGGAAGTAATTCATTACGTGATAAGTAAGAAATAACAACAAAAAAAAAATATATATAGGGTGTACCAAAATTATAAGACCCCCTTTTATTTTTGAAGTTTTTTCACAAAAACGGGCAGCTAGGTAAAATCTAAATAGTGATTTGGATAGTCCTTGAAAATCTCTATCGAATACAGTATGAGCCAGAATTTCTAAAGAAACTTAATGAAGAGAGTTTTCCAGAAAACCGTTTCACCTAAAACTCGAGTTTTTGAGAGGTTTGACAAAAATGTTTTTAAATATAGTCATCTGAAAGAGCAAAAAATTCTGAGCAAAATGCATGGTCGCCCAGCTCTCCACGATGTTTCCTCGCAGAGTTATAGGCACCAGAAAAATGGAAAGAATAAGTTTTTTAGCGGTTTTTTGATTAATTCTGCAATTTTCCCCATTTTTCTGGTGCTTATAACTCTGTGAGGAAACATTGTGGAGAGCTGGCCAACCACTCATTTTGCTCAGAATTTTTTGCTCTTTCAGATGACTATATTTAAAAACATTTTTGTCAAACCTCTCAAAAACTCGAGTTTTAGGTGAAACGGTTCTCTGGAAAACTCTCTTCATTAAGTTTCCTTAGAAATTCTGGCTCATACTGTATTCAATAGAGATTTTCAAGGGCTATCCAAATCACTATTTAGATTTTACCTAGCTGCCCGTTTTTGTGAAAAAACTTCAAAAATAAAAGAGGGTCTTATAATTTTGGTACACCCTGTATATTATTAATAAAAATTTTCTTTTAATATTTTTTCTAGATGTCGAAATCTTGATCGAAATTATTTTAAACGTTGGTTATTACGTGAAACACCACAAGAAAAAATGGATATTAAATTATTACAAACTTTTAAAAATATTAATACACGAACAGCTATGAGAGTTCATGATACATCTAAAGGACTTGTACCAGCTTCATCTACATCAGCTATGCAAAAATCATCATCAGAAAATAATGTTAGATCTCAACAAAGAATTGGAAGTATTTCAGAACTTGTTGCTGCCAAGTTTGTTTAATTATTTATTAAAATTTTCTATCTAATTTAATTTTTATTTGTAGTTTACCAGAACAAACTATACCAGATTTAATGTTTTTTGAAAATAATCGAGGTGAACATCAAGGTGATGATGCACAAATGCATCATTTTCTTGATTCAAATCTTCCTCATGCAAGACGAAGAGTAAGAAAATTTAAATAATACTTATGTATCTTATTATAGAGTTGAACAAAGTACTCGTACTCGAGTACGATTTTGATCGTAGTTGTACTCAAAATCCTAGATAGGAATACATTATATCAAAATAATGCTTGATAAAATTGTAGTTTATGTTTTTCGAGTATGAAATGAACAGATGATTTCTTCTTTTTGTTCTATACATATATGTATTCAGATAAATACATAGATGCTACACTAGAGTTTGTAGGGTCCAAAACTTCCGAATTCGGACTCGACCGAATTCGAGTTTGGGACAAACTCAATAGACTCTAGGCTACACTACGGTGTAATAACAGGCAAATTTTTTTATTAGACTCCTTCACTAGTAATATAGTATGTAATTGGTAATCGATCCGTGTCTGTATATTAAATAGTTCTTCTTCTTTCTTTCCGTATACATGATCCATTCTTACTGAATAAAATAAATTCGTTGTTATAATATTACGGTTCAATTAGGATGTGGGTGTTGGTGAAGAGAAGATCTACACCTTTCTTTTGATGATAAATTAAAAATGTGTTAGTAGAGCTTGATGCTTTTCTATCGGAAAAAGTACTGAAAATAATTAATTTTTTATCGAGAAAAACCTTTGTCATTTTCTATATGAACTTGATTTGAAATATTAGTCGATATCGGCTACATCAGCTCCTATTGAAAGAATATTTTCTCATAGCAATTTTGAAATATGTCTACATCATGCAATGTTAACCTCAATAAATGTATGTTTACTCTAGTCATTTCTAAAGTTATTAATTAAATTTTTTCTAGTGAGGTCTTAGGCCGCACTTGTCCAACTCTATCTCATTAACATTAAACAAAAGAAAATCGAGTTAGTCGATAGGTTTAATCTAATAGAAAGTTTCAATTGACAGTTTAAAATCTTTACAGATATATAATAAGTGAGCACCTCGTTATTCTAAAAAATTTTCAGCCCTATATGATGATGTTTTGGCGAGATATTTAACAAATAAGAGTCAAAAATAGCTCATTTGATTTTTAATATTTAGAATATATTAAAAGTAGTAACATTGACACTTTAATATCTTAAAAGAAAGCTCGAAGAATTTATTTTTGTCTATAAATATTGATAACTCAAATAATGAAATATTCTAGAATTAATTATAGACCCATTATTTGTACTATCAATATATATAGAAAAAAAAAATTTCCTCGAACTTTCTTTAAGATATTATAGTATTTGTATGACTACTTTTGGTATAACCTAAATATAATTAGATAGAAGTCGATAGTTATGAAAATATTTATCCAATTGATCTCATTCCGAATGATATATTAAAGAATGTGTAATGAAATACTTTAAATATAAATAAGTAAATCCAAAATCAATTATGTCGTATCAAATAAAAGAAAATATTCGTAAAAAATATTTTAATATAAACTACATTCAATGATTATAGTAAAATATGAGATTTTTTATCGTATCAAACGTTTATTTTGATTGCTTTCATTAATTTTATAATGATTTTATGTTTTATATAAGCTATCTGAATAGTATTAATATTGTGATTAAATAAATATGAAATCTAATGAATATCTTTTAGGCAACTATTCATCTTCGAAATCAAGATGAAATTATTGATCCAAATGGTGGAATAAATAATCGTTTTGACAAATTATTTCATCATCGTGATCATAGATATTTACGACCAGGACTTAATAAAGCACAATTACATGCACTTAAAACTATGCATACTACTGGTGTCAATGCTAATCGATCATCAAATTTAAAAAATACACCATCAACTCATGATCATTCAGAAACATTAACATCAAAACAACGAAATTCTCGAAGAGAATCAAAATTAGACGATCAACAATTATCTATTATCTCTAATCAAGAAACAAAATCTCCATCTATTCGTAGTGCTTTTCGTGGTAAGAATAAAGATATTATGATGTATTAAATTTAACTTCTTAATATTTTATTTTTTATTAATTAGATTCTGGATCAACAGCAGCTGAACGTATTCGTCCATGGATTCATTCACCATCTATGGATGAAACAGAAACAACATCTCAAACAAATGCTAAACCAACATCAACAAAGCAAAATGATCCTAATCTTTATCAAATACGTCTAAATGCAAGAGATGTTAGTAGTACATATCAAAAATCACCTGAATATATGGGTGAATATGCAACAATAACAAAATCTGAAGAACAATCATCACGATCAAATGCTTCTGATTTGTTTAATAAAGAATCAACAAATACATCTGAACAACAAAAGAATAATACTAATGCTGCTTCTGATCAAAATATTACTCGCTTGTGAACTTGAAAAGAAAAAATTCTTTCGTTTTTTTTTCTTTTTTGGCTATTTTGTTTTATTCGTCTATCTCTGTATTAGTAGACTGGAAATAAATAATAAAGCAATATTCTATAGAAGATTATATAAATTGGATGAATATAAATAGGAATTAGAATGATAAAATATAATGAAGCTATGATTTAAGTGATCAGTAAAAAAAATACATAGATTTTATCAGCAGAGTCTTTTTTATCGATATGAAATAGAGCGTGGACTTGAATGGTTTTCATTTCATTCACACTCACAAATCCTAATGAGCATCGTGCTTAATTTCAATTGTATAAACAATCATTTTTCTCACTGTTGGCAAGCTATATCAGATAAATACTTGCTCCAGTGTTGGAGCCGGTAACAGTAAACGGCTGGTTCGATCCTATAAGAACTCTTTATCGGCTGGCATACCGTCGACACTCACAACTTTTTCTATATCAGCCGGTATAGATTTTTTTTTCGCATATCGGATCAATTTTATTGGTATTAATGACTATTTCTATGGGAAAACATCTATTAGAATATTTATATTGAGTGAGTATTTATCAAGATATGCCTAATATATTTTATCAAGTCACTTTGACATCAAGTTATATCATCGAAATAAAATAGAATCATTGTTCGTCGTTATAATTTATTATATAATTATCTTCATTTCGTATTATTAATACCATATCTTTTGCTGAGACAAAAGAGATGACGAAATGAATCTTATGTGAGATGCAGAGTACATCTACAGTTGATTCAGAATTTCTATGTCTGACGAACGTTTCATTATTGTACAAAACTAATATAGAATCTGTAGTTGTATGAAAATTTATATCCATCGATCGACGCCAAAATAGAGAAAACTTATAGAAATAGATAGTGAAGGAAAAGTTTTTAGTACAATCCGTACGGGATTAAAATATTAAATAGGATGAAGCTATTATAACTATTGTGAGGAATCCAACGAAAAAAAAGCGAAAACGTCGTACTTCAGCATATTTCAAAGCTATCCTCTAGAGCTTCTTAGCTATTTCAAGTCTACTATGAACGTGTGTCACGAGCATATTAGTTCAAATTTATTTTATATAAGTCTATCTGCCACTAAAGACTGAATATTTCATTGTGTTTCAAGATTTGAATATCAATGAAGTACGATGAAGTGTAAGATTTTCTTTTTTTTCCCTTTGAGGAAACCTTATCGTCTATATGACAGAACCAAAAGCCAGCATGTCGAAAAACCCGCTAGGTTGCTGCAGACATATCGCAATCTCTGCCACAGTCTGTCAATAGGTTAAAAGAACGTCGGCATGTTTGTCGCGATCTTTGGAGCAAGCTGGAGAAGATAGGGTCAATTTTTTCACTATATACTTCAAGACTCATTGACAACCATGTTTCATGGAAGTACTATAATAGTGAAACAGAAGTCTTACGTAATTTCTGTAGTCAATCAGAGGTAGGTATAACTAATTGAGATGTTGAGGTGATTCTTACAGGTTGAGAAATATGAAAAATGACTCATGTCGGTCTACTGATTCGATGATTTTAGACCGTTACTGATGAGGAAAAACCCTACGGGTTGCAATATTAACTTGCTCTACATTAAGGTTCACGAAGTTTGACTTTGTTGCATCTGCTTTAAACTGTTCTCCTTTTTTTTTCTGTATAGTTTGTAGTAATCTTTTCACCATTCATTGCAAATGGATACTTCTGCTCCATCAACATTATGAAATGTTACCTCGTTAATTCAATATTTTGGTTTCTTTTTTTATTTTGTCACGATCTTTCATTTTTATTTATTTCAACATTTTCTTTCACAACTTCTTCATTACTTTCATATTGAACAATTTGTATCATATTCAGCTTTTAGATTCGAAGCTGACGTTGGAGAAAAAGATAGAAGCAGAGTACCTATATGAATGTCTTACATAGCATCTGTACTATATGGTAAAGGAAAAAAGCTTGTTAGGACAGTTTCTTGGAGACTGAAATATGGAACTCACATATATTCTTTAGTCTCATTAAACTAATAGAAAATACGTAAAGTGAAAAATCTCTTGTAGAAAATAGTTGTTCTACAAGATAATCGATCACCGAAGTTAAGACATCTCTAATTTCTATATTTCGAACAGAATTTTTTTATTTCTTCTACGAGCTTCTTATTTTTTATTTTTTTTTTAAATTCGTTTTTCTTAATTTAACATTCTTATTATTATAATCATTGAATTAATTGATAAATAATTCTGTTTTACATATCCATGATATCTACAGCAGATCTTACGCACTATTCTATAAATTAATCAACTCACAAACAACGATATTCATTATTTTTCAAAATTATAACTTAATTACTGTTGCAAAAAACTCTAGAAAGTCTGACGCTCGTTATTCTTGATTGCTAAAGTATGTAATGCGGTGGTTGTCTGCAATGAGGTCCTCTTTACTATGGTTTGTAATTGGGTGAAAGTAGGAGAACCACAAAAGTGAATCATTTCAATCTCTATACTAACCTTTTATTTTAATTGACTGTAAGTAAATTTTACTAATTGATCTTTAAATTTATTAGAAAATCTGATTCATCATTAACTGTCTATTTAAGTTAATTTACTGATTTTATAATTATTTACCATTTCATCTATTTTACTGCCCGAAATAGATTGCATACATTCATACATATGATATCTAAAAGTTGTTGTTTTAAACTTGAATTCAAGTCATGCTCTACTATTCTACTGGAATGAAGAAGAAAAATGTAATTAAGTTGAATCATTTTTACATTAATCTTATTACATAAACTATTGCTATTTATAGAATATTTATTGTTAAAGTAAATTTAACTTGTAAAAAAAGGATTGCGCGAACTCGATAAACTAATTTTCAATTCTAACACGAAGAACATATATTTATTTGATTTCTTTTGTAAATAACATACATCGAAATGATGAAATTCATATGATAATATGAAAAATAAAATATTTTATGATTCACAACAAATTAATTTTACAAGCAACCATTATTAATATTTATTATTGCAACAATATTTATGTGAATATATTGTTTCATTAAATTATCATCTCTTTTCTTTTTTTAATTTGTATAGGTATTCAAATTTTTCTTTTTAATTTTTCTTTACTAAAAATCATATTTTATTTGGTCAAATATTAATACATATATTGTCGTATTCGGTCTAGTCAATAGTTTAAATGAAGAAGACAAGAAAAGAAAAAAAAGAACGGAAAGACAATATTCATGAAATTCGTTAGTGATTTTTTTTTGTCAATTGTAAACATGGCATTTAACGAGGTTGAGAACCAATTGGAATACGACCACCAGGTGCTACTCCTAATATTAATCAAAATAAAAATTAGAAAATGATATCAGGAGATTATATGTGACAAACCTCGTTCTTTCATTTCTTGTGCTTCTTGACAATTAGCACAACCACTACAACAACATGTAGCAATAAAATCACTTGGATTTTCTTCGAGATTGTAAGCACCACGAAGAGTTTCTCTTCGTGGTTTATGAAGTAAACAACAGAGATAGCAGCCTGATAAAAGACAATAACTTACACACATGCCAATTTTGTTTGATCCATCAATTTGTTCGGCATTTTGACCAAATAAATAACAAGAACAGCACCAACCAAGTAAACATGTTGGCATATCATCGAAACAACCAAATAGTCCATCTAAAAAAATATTGAAATAGAATATTACTAGATATTATAAATAGAAATTCATTACGTTTCCACGGTTGTGTCATTGTATATTGTTTTTAATCTGAACTAGTTGGATCAAATGAAGTTTGTGTACAAATACTAATCTCAAACGGTACCGAAGCAACAGAATGTGATTGTGCTGTTGATCGACTTCTTAATATATACTTCAATTTTTTTTGTGTTTTTTTTTCTTTTTTTTTGAAGAATTTATAAGTGTATGTGTCACACGTAGAAGACCAAGTAAAATATTTTAAGAAAGAGAGAGAGAGAGATGGATGAATTGATCGATGTCAACAGAACGTGTAAAAGATGCAAGTTGCTAAGTGGGAAAGTTGTTTAAACAATAAAAAGAAATGCAAACAAAAAATGATTGTCAAGACAATCGTTAATACAATGATCGTAACTATAGTCACAACTGGCCATTTTAAAAAATGCACAAATGTAGGAGGAGAGGAAGAAACATTGTTTGTTCTATATATGACGTTTTTCATGATTTTAGTAAGAATATATGAATAGTTTTAATATTGACTTATATGTCATACTTTTCTTTTTTTTCTATGCTGAATTTTTTTGTACTGAATCCATGTCTTTTAGTTAACAGAATTCTGCCATTGTACACAAAGTTCTTCAGCAGATGTGCTATTCATGAGTAACAGAAGAGAAATACTACAAAGTTAATTGTATTGAAATTTTTTCTTCCTATCAAAATTATATATACACAAAAATAATTATTAGATTAATTTAACACAGGCATGGTTTTTTTAAAATTTATCCCTTGTCAAAATCTGCTAATTGAGAATTTTAATAAATAAAAATTATAGTATATTCAAAATACAAATTATATATTTAGTTTATATAGTATCATTCATACAAATGATAATAATGAATTTATGTGATATAGATGACCTGAGGAAATCATATTGTCCATTTTGTTTCAATAACAAATACGTTAAAACAAATAGAAGAATAATCCTATCTTATTATAAGATTTAATTTACTCTTATTTCATTGAAAAATTTGATTAAATTAAATAGAAGCTGAAAGATCTTTTTTTTTAATAACAATTAAGTCTAAATCAATAAAACCTATTCCAGATTGAAACTACTCAACAGAATCCGATAATATTCGACAGCGTGGATTATTATTTTTTCACACTAAATTATATTCAAAATACGTTTTAAATTTATTTTTATGTAATTTTGTTTTTATTATTTAAATGTTTGAGGATGTTAAATTACTGATTCTTTGAACAAAAAAAAAATATATTGGTGATTATGCATGCAAATTATTTCCAGTTATTTTTTCATCTGAAAAATTTTATCTTCTAGTCGTAGGTCACAAACAACAAATAAAACTTCATACATATATTGCAGTACGAATGTAACCTTTTTGTGTTTTCTCATTTTCGAAACGGTTGTTTGAAAATTTCAAAATAGTTTGTCCTTCGTTGGTTTTGTTTTATTCTATGTAATTTTTTTTCGTTATTGGATATTATCCATTAGCAAAAGAAAACGAAAATATTTCAATATAAATAAAATTTCATAAACCGTGCACAAGTAAAAATTTCTCAAATGTTCAATGTTCTATTCGTTTCTATACATATAAAAGTTAAAAAACAACCTACTGAGAGAGAGATCCACACTACACACGATGTCTAATTTAATTAAAAAAAGATCAGGATCCTATCGAACACGGTGCTTTCCAATATGATCCGATTGTCAGATTGTTTAGGGAATCCAACGAGATCCTAGTTTCAGATTCCTCGTTCTGGGCTGTCAAAAGACTAACAATTTTTTCAATAGAGTATAGACGTATCATCTGTATAACACCATGAAATTTCTAGGCAACAGTTTGACCAACAATCTAAATATATTAGTGAGTTTATGTATATAAGTAAATGAACGACTTAATATTGAAATATAAAACTTTTTTATTTTAATAGCAGCGAAAATGTTTTGTAATTGACAATATCAGCTAAGAAAGACTATCGAAAATGACAGAATTTACTTTTGCAGAAAAACTGCAAAAGTAGATTCTGTCATTTTCGATAGTCTTTCTTAGCTGATATTGTCAATTACAAAATATTTTCGCTGCTATCAAAATAAAATGAGTTTATGTAACTTTAATCAATAGAAAGCTGCGCAAAGCTTTGAAATATTTCAGCTTCTCCCACCCTCAAAAATTGGTCTCAGGTCAGGTACATTCAAATTGCATGAAATTTTCGAGATACGTTGAAGCTGTAGTAGAGAGACTATGATAAAATTGTCAGCCCTATACCATGGCGTTTTCGGAAGATATTCAACAAACAAGGATTAAAAAAAATAGCTCATTTGGCAGTTCGAAATTCTCTGTAGGCCTTCATTTTATATATTAAGTTTTTTTTTTCGTTTGAAAGAGCATGTCAGGATGCAGGACATGATATAGAGCCCTTTTTTTTAAATTCTTATTTTTGAAGCGGAGAAAGAAACGAAAATTTTAATGTCTCAAAAAATTCTTAAGAAACGACGTACTGATTGTAAAAGTGCTTTTTTTTCATATAACTATAACAAAGTTTAATTCAACAAAGAGACTGTCATGCTTTACATCTTAACTTGCTCTTTCAAATAAAAAAAACGCAATTGGCTACAATGAAACTGTTTCAAGAACAGGAAAAAAACGAAAAGCATTTTTCACTTTTTGAGAAAACAGTATATTCTTCAAGCAGGTGATGATAGAAATCATCAAAAAAAGAGATACCGATACCATAGACATTGATATAAGATTGTAAATCGTATACCAATAATGTCTCATTATAATATATGAATTACTTCCTTGTTGCATTCTTGAAGAACTAGGTATAGGGATAATCAATAAATATGTCTCACAATATATAGAATAAAATAATCTCATTGTAATTAGCAACTAGAGACCGAAAAGGGACCCGCCTCGCCTCGACCTTTATTTTTTTTCTTCGCTGCCTCGTCATGTCTTTATAAGATGTTTGTATCTTTTAGTCATATGATTTATTTGACAACATATTGCAAAACAAAATAGACACAAGAGCACAAAAACGATATAACTCAAGATCAATCAATCTTTTACTTTTTAATTTTCTATCGAACGAAGAAATAAAATATTATTGCGCCTAAATCAGAGATCTTCTTTGGTTGACAATTTGACCTGCTATCAAAAACTCTCTTTCGACAGCAGCTGAACTGCAGGATATTGAGTATGCACGACATGCTAATTAACCTCGTCTTATTGTAACCTTCTCTTATCCCTTTCATCCTCTATTATCAACAGCAACTAAATTGTACTTCACATTTTAATCCCTCAAAAATTGCACTAATAGATTTTTTTTTATAATTAAATTTGTAAATCTACAGATGTTCATATACGATAATATTTTATCTTCTATTAGATAAAATGAATTTTTTTATAATATTTATTGATTGCATTAAAATCAATGACTGTACAAAAATCTTGAATAATCATATGAATGAATATGAGAGTTCAAATTGACTGAAAAGCAACCCGTATATCACTGAAAATATCAGCGATTATAGTGAATGCAATTAAATTATTATTAGTTTTTGTTCGTTTTATTTTTTTGCCAAGAATGATAATACATATATATCATTTATTAAATATTTCTAATGGTATATACTTTTTTTCAATGATTCGAAAAACATGATGTATATTTAAATTTTCAAGTTAAAAATCGATCATTCTTTACTGAAATATTAATTTATAAAATATCAGATATGAAATATTGTTAATAAAAATCAAAATAATATTCAATAAGTTATTAATTTCATTGAATGAACTTATAATTCTTCATATATATATATATATATATATCGTTCTCATTTATCTCTAAAGATTTAATAAATAAAAATCCTATTATTAGTCTCGCATAATTCGACTATCAGATAGCAAACCAATAGCAGTTGATTTCAAAGTTACTGGCACAAAACTTCGTGATTGATTATATAAAGTATTTTGTTGTTGGGATATATAATTATGTTTTATTTTATTTCGATTAACATGTTGTGGTAATAAACGTTTAGTTGTAGTTGTTATTGATGGTTTATTTTCACAGGATACTATTTCAGGTATAGTTGTACGTTGAATTGTATAACATCTTGATATATTTGTATCTCGTATTGATAGACGTGTACTAGTTTCACTAATTGAACGACGATTACTATCTGTTCTTGTTAATGATGGTGAAAGTGATGGTGTTAATTGAATAATAGGAAGAGAAGGTATTGTTGTTTTTATTTGAGATTGTTTTTTAATTTTAATATTTCTATCTTGTGTTTCCATAAGACGAAAATGAAGATTATAATTAGAAAATCGAAATGATTTTTTTCCTGTTACATCAATTGATTTTTCATATGTTCTATCAATATTTTGAATTGTTTCTTTAACATGTGATTTATATGGATGTTGAATAATTGGTGGTAAAATTGATGATTCTTGTATAATATTTTCATCATTTATATCCATAATAGGTGATTCTCTATTTTCTTTTTCTTCATTTAATTGAAATAATAAATTTTTATTATGTTCTTGAACACGTTTTAAATAAGTTTCATGAATAATATCAAGTCGTTTTTGAAGACGTTTACGTAAATATCGTTTAATATTTGGTGTTACTTCATCATTTGTCATATCAATTAAATCAACAAGTTCCATCATACCTTTTTCATATGCTAAATCTCGACATGTAAATGTTCGTTGTCGAATAGGATAGTTTGTACGAAAACGAAATTCATGAAGATCAGCTGCATGTTTAACATTAACTTCTAATTGATCAATAAGATATTCAGCTACTTCATTACGTTGTCGTCGAATAGCTGACATAAGAAGAGATTCAGTAAACTAAATTAATTATGATAATGTATATATAGTTAATTATTGATAAAATTCAATAATAAAAAATTTCTAAAGACAAAATTTTCAACAAAATAAAAAGAAGACTAAAAAGTTAAACTATAAAACGATATTTACATTTGAATGCAAATGTTAAATGCAAATAACATAAGGTACTTGTAATTTA